GGTAGATTTCAGGGATTTGTGCAGTGATCTCAATGAGGTATGCTGCTGGTCCAATTGGATATGCTGTGACTTAAAGTGGGGTGTGCTCTGTGTCACAGTGAAAGTTACTTTGGGTCTTTGAGATTATCTACGAATTTCAGTGTGGTTAGGTTCTGAGTAGGGTGTTCTGTGGGTTGTAGTTTTGTGCATTGGGCTTCAGGGATGTGTGTGATGGTCAAAATGAGCTGTGGTGCTTGGATGTGCTATGCCTTAAAGTGGAGTGTGCTTTATGTCACAGTGAACGTTACTTTGGGTATTTGTGATTTCTATGTGGTTCTCAGTGATGTTTGTTATTGATTAGGGTGTGAGGTTTGCTGCTGGTTGGAGTGTGGTGTGTTGTGTCATAAAGTTTGATGTGCTCTCTGTCATAGTGAATGGTACTGTGAGACTTTGTGAATTTCTGTGGTGTTTTCAAAAAGGTGTTCTGCTAGGTGCAGCGGGGGTGTACTGTGGGTTAAAGTGGGGTGTGCTTTTGTTCACAGTGAATGGTACCGTGGGTGTTTGAGATTTCTTTGTGGTTCTCAGTGAGGTTTGTTTCTGAGTCAGGTGTTATGTGGTGATAGTTTTGTGTGGTGGATTTCAGGGATTTGTGGGGTGGTCTCAATCAGGGGTGCTGCTTGTCCCAGTGGGGTGTGCTGTGTCTTCAAGCAGGGTGTGCTCTATGTCACAGTGAATGGTTCTGTGGGTCTTTGAGAATTTTTGTGGGTCTCAGTGTGTTTTTTTTTGAATAGGTTGTTCTGTTGGACTATATTTTGTGTGGGGGGTTTCAGGGATTTGTTTGGTGGTCTCAAAGAAGTGTTTTTCTAGGCACAGTGGGGTGTGCTGTGGCTTAAATTGGTGTGTGTGGTGGATCATATTGGATGATAGTGTGGGTCTTTGAGCTTTCTCTGTGATTCTCAGTGAAGTTTGGTTCTGAGTAGGGTGTTCTCTGTGTCATAATTTTGTGCAGTGTGTTTCAGGGATTTGTATGGTGGTCTCAATGAGGTGTGCTACTGGTCGCAGTGGGGTGTGCTGTGGCTTAAATTGGTGTGTGTGGTGGATCATATTGGATGATAGTGTGGGTCTTTGAGCTTTCTCTGTGATTCTCAGTGAAGTTTGGTTCTGAGTAGGGTGTTCTCTGTGTCATAATTTTGTGCAGTGTGTTTCAGGGATTTGTATGGTGGTCTCAATGAGGTGTGCTACTGGTCGCAGTGGGGTGTGCTGTGGCTTAAAGTGGGGTGTGTTATATGTCACACTGAATAGTAATGTGGGTCTTTGAGATTTCTCTGTGGTTCTTAGCGAGGTTTCTTTCTGAGTGGGGTGTGCTGTGGCGTAAAGTGGAGTGATCTCTATGTCACAGTGAATGGTACTTTGGGTCTTTGAGATTTTCAGTGGTTCTCAGTGAGATTTGGTTCTGAGTAGGGTGTTCTGTTCATCGTAGTTTTTTGTGGTGAGTTTCAGGGACTTGTGTGGTGGTCTCAATGAGGTGTGTCTTGGGACATAATGGGGTGTACTTTGGCTTAAAATGGGGTGTGCTCTCTGTCACTGTGTATGGTACTGTGGGTCTTTGAGATTTATCTGTGATTCTCAGTGAAGTTTGGTTTGGAGTAGGGTGTTCTGTGGGTCATTCTTTTGTGTGGTGAGTTTCAGGTGTATGTGTGGTGGTCTCATTTAAGTGTGCTGCTGGTTGCAATGGGGTGTGCTGTGGCTTAAATTGGGTTTGCTCTATGTCACAGTGAATGGTACTGTGGGTCTAAGATTTCTCTGTGGGTCTCAGTGACGTTTCGTTCTGAGTAAGGTGTTCTGTGTGTCATAGTTTTGTTCAGTGGGTTTAAGGGACTTGTGTGGTGGTTTAAATGAGGTGTGCTGCTGGTTGCAGTGGGAAGTTTTGTTGCTTAAAGTGGGGTGTGTTATATGGCACACTGAATGGTACTGTGGGTCCTTTAGATTTTTCTGTGGTTCTCAGTGAGGTTTGTTTCTGAGTAGCATGTTCTGTGGGCCATAGTTTTGTTCAGTGGATTTCAGGGATTCATGCAATTGTCTTAATGAGTTTTGATGCTGGCACAGTGTGGTGTACTGTGGCTTAAAATGGGGGTGTGCTGTATGTCACAGTAAATGGTACTGTGGGTCTTTGAAATTTTCTGTGGGTTTCAGTGAGGTTTGTTTCTGAGTAGGGTGTTCTATGCATCATAGTTTTGTGTGGTTGCTTTCAGAGACTTGTGTGGTAGTCACAATGAGGTGTGTTGCTGGTCACATTGGATGTGAATTGGCTTAAACTGGGGTGTGCTCTATATCACAGTGAAAGGTACTATGGATCTTTGAGATTTTCTGTTGTTCTCAGTGAGGTTTGGTTCTCAGTAGGGTGTTCTGTGGGTCATAGTTTTGTGTGGTGGGTTTCAGGTATTTGTGCGGTGGTCTCAATCAGGGGTGCTGCTTGTCCCAGTGGGGTGCACTTTGGCTTAAAGTGCTCTATGTCACAGTAAATGGTTCTTTCGGTCTTTGAGATTTCTTTGTGGTTTTCAGTTTGTTTCTGAATAGGGTGTTCCCTGGTGCATAGTTTTGTCCTGTGGATTTCAGGGATTTGTGCTCTGATCTCAATGAGGAGTGATGCTTGTTGCAGTGGTGTCTTCTGTGTCTTAAAGTTGGATGTGCTCTATGTCATAATGAATGATACTTTGGGTCTTTGAGATTTTCTGTGGGTCTCAGTGAGCTTTGGTTCTGAGTAGTGGGTTCTGTGTGTTGTAGTTTTGTGCAGTGGGTATCAGGGATTTGTGTGGTAGTCTCAAAGAGGTGTGCTTCTGGTCGCATTGGATGTGCTGTAGCTTAAAGTACGGGTGTGCTCTATGTTACAGTGAATGGTACTGTGGGTCTTTGAGGTTTTCTGTAGGTCTCAGTGTGGTTTAGTTCAGAATAGGGTGTTCTGTGGTTCTTGGTTTTGTGCACTGGTTTTCAGATATTTGTGCAGTTGTCTCAAAGAGGTGTGCTTCTGGTCTCCATGGGCTGTGCTGTGTCTTAACGTGGGGTGTGCTGTGGATCACATTGAATGGTACCGTGGGTCTTTGATTTTTTTTTCTGTGGGTCTCAGTGAGGTTTGGTTATGTGTAGGGTGTTCTGTGGGTCATAGTTTTGTGCGGTGATTTTCAGGGATTTGACGGTTGTCTCAATGAGGTGGGCTGCTGCTCATAGTGGGATGTGCTGTGACCTAAAGTGTGGTGAGCTCTTTGTCACAATTAATGGTACTGTGGGTCTTTGAGATTTTCTGTGGGTCTCAGTCAGTTTAGTTCTAAGTAGGGTGTTCTGTGGGTCGTAGTTTTGTGCAGTAGTTTTCAGGGATTTGTGCGGTGGTATCAATGAGGTGTGCTGCTGGTCACAGTGGGGTGTGGTGTGACTTAAAGTGGGGTGTGATCTATGTCACAGTGAATGGTACTGTTGGTCTTTGAGATTTTCTGTGGCTCTCAATGCGGTTTGGTGCTAATTAGGCTGTTCTGTGTGTCATAGTTTGTTCAGTGGGTTTAATCAATTTGTGTGGTAGTCTCAATGAGGTGTCCTGTTTGTCGCAGTGGGCTGTTCTGTTGCTTAAATTGGGGTGTGTTCTATGTCACAGGAAATGGTACTTTGGGTCTTTGTGGTTTCTCTGTGCTTCTCAGTGAGGTTTGTTTCTGAGTAGGGTGTTCTGTGTGTCATAGTTTTGTGTGCTGGATTTCAGGGATTTGTATGGTGTTCTTAGTGAGGTGTGCTTCTGGTCGCAGTAGGGTGTGCTGTGGCTTATCAATTTAAGGTACGTTAGTTAGAGGTTAAGCCTCTGTAGCGCAGATATCACCAGACACAATTGCTGAAATCACATGATATTTTATTTCCTTACTGACACTCTATTGCAGTGCAGGCTGGTGAATATAGTCAGTTCCATGTGATCTTTAGTTGACTGAAGCATCAATTTTATCTTTACTGTACTATGCTGTAGAGTAGGGCTTTTTAATATAAATTTCTGTAATGATTTAAGTGAATTATTTCTGCATTGCTCAGCTTAATACCTTCTAGCAACATGGGATATTTGAGTCTTTAATTTTAATTTAATTTCAGTTAAATGTGTTTGAATTTAAAGTAAACAGAAGTGACTGTAGTGAACTAAATAAAATCTTCAAATATGAACAGTTTTCCTGATTTAAAAAAATAAATAAGAGTAAACATATTGGAGGTAGCGGGGAAAAGATATTTTTAAAAGGTTTCAATATGTCTGGTTGCTACTGCCCCATTCTCCCAATTATGGTACAAAGGAACATAGATTCATGGCGCTGTATCGGACCTGCTGGAGTTAGGCTGTGAACGAAACCCTGGCTTTGTATACACACTAGTTGTAACACAGCAGAGACCTGTCCTTAATGCCACAACAAACGGGACTGTATATTGCATCCATTGAATGGCTAAAGCTGTTTACTACTTTATTTAGATTGATTTTATAAAAAGGACAAGGAGTATAAATAAAGGGCAGCTATTCACTGATTGGAAAACTCCATTTCCGACCATTTCTTCAAGTGATTGTAGCTTTATTTCTTTTTTTGTCATTATATTGACTACTTATTTATAATAAATGATACATTTCATACACAGGCTTCATTGCTGATTCTTTTAACAGATGGGATTTATTGTCATATTAATCATGTAAACATTTGAGAAAAGCAATGTTTGAATTTCTTTAAAAATACATAGAAGGTAGGAATTAATTTCAGGTAGGTCTACACATTCTAAGAATAATTCATCTTTGAAACAGGATATTTGACCTGAATTGCCACATTTAAATGTTATTTAAAATCTTACCCATAAAATATTTCCAGAGGCACTTTCCAAAACTCACTCATGTCAGTAAATTAATACAAATTTTCCCATTCAAATATCAATACAGCAATAGTGTTTTAAAGTTATCCAGTCTATTTCTGATCATAGGAAGGAATGCCTTTGACATACAACAATCTGAGTGGCATGCCCTAAACTATGCGAGAAACCCTCATGGTGTACTGCAGGAACTCCTGAAGGTCACACAGGATGAGGCGCATGGCGGTTTTCTTCTCCCAACCAGTCAACTCATTTAGCATTTCCACCAGGCTGGCAGTTACCTCTGGGGCAGGGCCCGTTATGTCACATGGGCAAGATACCTGATGGGAAACATAGCAGAAGGATTATTCACATACAGAAAAAATTCCTTTGTAAGGCACAGGTGTTCTAGGAGGTAGGGAGATGTCCAAATCTGTACTGACTGACATGATGGAAGCAACTGTTCTCACTGGCTGAGGTAGGGGAGGTCATTCTACACGAGCCCACACTGCATAGGGCCCTTTCACAGCAACTGAATTCTAACCATTCCTCAACTGCTCTGTCACAAATGACATGCTAAGCATCAAAAAGGATAATCTACTGTGATACTTATTTTCTATTCCATTTTCTGAATAAGTGCTTGACATAGTAGAAATTCAATAGATAAATAAAAGACGTAGCTCTAGCCAGTTTATTGGATTTTCCTAGGTCTCTCCATAGTATAGTTTCTCCAACAAACCTTTGCCATCTATTAGGCATCTGTTGGGAGTTACTGATCTGATGATATACAGAGGATGGGAAACTCCTCTCTAGAGATCTAGGGGTATAGAGATAAGTAATTGTGGGAGGCATTGTGCCTCCAAGTATGTCTGCATCATTGGCATCACCATGGACCCTTTTAGAAAAGAAAATTTTAGGCCCTCTGTAGCCCTGCTCAACCAGATTGGCCATCACAGCAAGATCCCACTGGGAGTGCCGTTCATAATAAAGCCTTAGAAGTCCTGGTGGAGGAGAAACCACTAGAAATGGCAGAGGTACAAACAGCATTCATTCCAGTGCCCTTCTGCTCACACTTTGCTTGGCTCATTCACACACTGCCCCTCAACTCTCCAGTCTCTGCTCTTTGAATATCTAGCTCTTGGAGACAAAACAATTGGTACCTCCTCAATCAGCCTGTAGTCTTTGCCTATAACCCAGCAATAATACTGTAATAAAAGGAAAAGTAGCAAAAACTGTTGAAGCAATCTTAATGAACAAATGTCACTAGTAGTAATTTAAATATTCATATTTTCTCTCCAACCTTGGTGGAGGAGTTAAAGTGGCTGGAAGCCACATTATTAAATCTGCAGTTCAATTCCTGAACCTGCAGCTTCAAAAACAAGCCAAGCAGTGTGTGTGAATTTCCCATCATCATGATGGGAAACAGTAATATGTTAAAATATTACAACAGAGTAATTTTCATAGGAGTTACCTCTTCTCCTGTGAATGAGCAATCACTCTGGATATGTTTTTGTAAATTAGACACTAAAATCCACATCTCTTAATCACTTTAATTACAGTAATAAAAGAACTTTGCAGAAGAGATCCAAAACCCATTCCAATAACAAATATTTAAGCTACCAGAAGATTTCTCAGACCCTTTCATGAACATGAAACTTTCAATTTGAAGCAATATTGCACTTGTGATATATGGAGGATGGGAAACTGCTTCCTGGGGCCTGTCTTCCCTATACATAGGGATGGAATGAGGAAATATTTACCTTTTTGTGCAGGATATCAAAGAGGGCTTTGGTAGCAATTGGCAGAGCATTAGAGCTTGCCTTATTATTAAAATTTTTCTGGAGGTATTCCAGGTACACCTGAAACTCCAAAAGACCAGTACTGATTCTTCGCAGGCAAGTCTCCTAAGAAGAAAGATAGTAGACAATTTGGTATTACTAGGAAATAGAATCCAATTTAAAAGTTAAATTCCTATACTTTAGTATCTTCCTTCTCTTGCTCTCTAGGGACCATCACGTATCTGTTCAACATCGTCTTGTGTGACGTAAGACAGCACTAATTTAGATTGCTGCACTGTCAGAGAAAGCACTTTCATAATATTATTAATAACCCAGCAAATACTAGAATATGTCAAGTAAATCCTTCTCCGAGACTCATTGGGGCCTTTCTGATATTTCAGTCCTTATCAATGTTGGACAGACCCTTCTCTTTATGGAATAATTAACCATGTGAGCAGATCATCTGTTCATCTGTGCAGAGAAGGGCGAGGAGTATGACTATTGAAATGAGGACATGTCATGACCTATTCAGGGGAGCCAAAATTGAGAAAAGAGGCATAATAGTCTCACAGAGGAAGTACAAGGTTAACCTGAAGGTGTTGCTAGAATTTGACAACTGTAAAATTTCCCAACTAACAGAGACATCTCTGGCCATAAGTTTCCTAGAATGAATCACATTGCAAAACTTCAGGGAGGCTTCATTGTCAAATTTACATGTGTTCTGATCATTGTATCCAGTTTTTGTTGCCTGCCTAGGTCTCTATGTCTGTAACAGCAATGGCATGCACAAGGGAATACTTTTGCCTATGGCATAGTGAAAAGGAATGGGATGAGTTCATACCTTATCAAATGTAGTGTGTAAGCATTTGTCCTGCTCAGTCAGTTTTGGAACATTCATATTGTTTTTCGACAGTGCCACCTTGCTTTTGCAGATGTCAGTTGGCTCATCAAACTGAGAAAGAACACCAGAATTCTCATCATATTAGTGTCCCTACAGCAAGCCCCACCCCAGGATCAATTCATGTTCTACCAGAGGCAGAAAAGCTTAGGAAAATGAAGTCATAACCCGTTGGCATCCATCTAAGAAAAATTGAGTGGAGCATAGAGTACTTGCATTTAATCTGAGGTTCACCTGTGACTTCAGGCTGGTACTAACTCTGAGTTAGAGTTCCCTTATCTTTAAACTGAAGTTATGAAACACATGCCTTGTTTAATTTCTATTTTGATTCCACATCATATTTGTGTAAATCATTTGGAACATGGTAGATATTTCATGTATGACAGCAGTTTAGGTAATAATAGGGTGAAAATAGTGTAGCCATTATGGGACTATCTGGAAGGAATTTTCGAGATCATATAATATAACTCCACAATTTTGAAGATGGAGGCTATATTTGTATACAGAATTCCAGAGAACATGAAAGTAAACTTACAGCAACTGTCCTTCAATCCTGGCACCTAATGACCTTTCCAGTGTTCTTTTACTTCTACCAACTGAGTCCAAACACCTTGAATTTTGAATTGATACAAGCATTAACCTACTTATGGTTTTGCCACTTTGAGGGCTCTAGTATGAATCTATTCTATAATATATAGAATCCATATATTAAGGGGAATGTCTTAGGGGAGACCTAACTGCAGAACTTACGTATCTATAAGGTCTGCACCTGTCCTGAGAAATGGAATGCTTATTTTAGTTGGCACTTTTTTTCATTCCCCCAAAGGTCTGATGGAATAAAGATGGTTTATAGACATTATTTTTGATTACAGAAAGGTCTACCTGGCGAAACAATGATACTTGGATCATGCCAGGTAAGCAGCTGAAATCCCTAGGTGCTTGCATCAAACTTCCATGGAGTTTATTCAACAATGAAGAGCTTCCTGAGTACAACAGTTATGATAAACACACAAAAGTCTAGTCTGCCCATTGTAAAGTGTAAATGTAAGGTGCCCAAGAAAGCAGCCAAGTCTAATAAATGTTAATTATGAATCTATATTAATATCCTATCAACAAGCCTGCTCACCTCCTCTTTCAGCTTATCGATTTCAACAAGAAGAGAGTTGATGAGTCCTTCCGTTTTCTCTGGTTCTGTGGTGGTGGTTTCAGAAGTAGCCATTGCTACCAGCATCCCCAGAAGGATGGGACCTAAAGTGACTATATCCAAAGGAGAAATAGAGTCAGTAGGGCTTAGGCTGTATATGCACAACAAGGAGGTCTTTCTAGTTCTTGGACACTTTTCACCCTCATTTTCACTACCACCCAAGGGCTACACGCCCTTCTTTCTCACACAGGTGTATCCAAGCCTATAGTTTTCTTTCACTTACTTGTCGAGAAGAAGGTCATTGCTGGACTCCTGGTAGGTAGATAGAAGGCTCTTTGGTCCTGGTCGACTGAGAGACGCGATGTGCCTCAGATGTTCTCGGCCTCATATATATTGGGGTTGAATCACTGATCTTGAGATGATTGTGAAAATTCTATATTTGATAACCATCTTTGTTGACTGGTTGCATTGAGATCAGGGGAAGCGGAGTGAGTAGAATCCTTTTGATTGTGTAATACAATGTTCATTAGCCTCCCAGGTATTCTGCTCTCTCCCTTTGGTTTCAACAAGTTCATGTGCCCTAGGGAAAAAAAAAATGTGAGAAAAAAGGAAAACATCTTCTGCTCGGACATTCAAATGAAACAAAAAAATAAAGAGATAGAGTACAAAGGTCATGACATAGACAGTTCCTCGTGGGGTACCTCCTCAATTTCTCTTCCTTTCTCTCAATCTTTATTTCTCATATGCACATTGCTCCTAGACAAAATTTAAAAGAACAAAGAAGGAAAAATGTCTTATGGCAGGAAGTTCAAATTTTTACAATAATTTTCCCTTTATTGTGAAACATTAATTGTTCAAACAAACAAGGTCCTTTGAGTTAGGTAACTGGCCAAGCTTCTCTTGCACCATCACCTTGTACAAAACCTTCTGTTAAGTGTTTTTATGATAGAAATCCCCATTGCTCCCTGTGCATAGTTACTACCATTATTCTAACATCCAAATATGGCTGTCTAGAAGAAGGGGCCTGAAATAACATCATGTTTTCTGGCCATGGCAGCTAGGATAAGTACACTTGTGTGAGCGTGGGAATCAATATTTGTGGGTCTACTTGGTGTGACAGCATGTGCACCGAGCACATTGCTAGCATGCATCGTTGTTAGTGTTCGTATCTTGGGGGCGGGAGGGATGTGCTGGTTAGGAATGGGCTTACCTTACTTTAAAGTCTCAGTGCAATGTCCTGAATTGTACCATGACAGCATTCTTCATTTGAATATCAATGAGTTTTCTAGATTGAGATGTATTCCTCATTATGTTGGTGACTCCTCTTTTTACTCTTAATTTTAGGATTACATCAAAACTTAGAGGAAGTTACAGGTTAGAGATTTCTCATGGGTCTCCTGTTCCAAACTTTCCATCTATTTTACTAAGTCTGAAACACCAGAGAGGCCATGCTGTCAGCATTTTTACTGAACCCTTCATTACTGGATTGTACCATTGCTGATACTGATTGAGGTGACTGACAGCTGTGACAGCTATTCTAACTGAGCATATATGGGGAAAAATACAAAAAAGAAGATGACTTGGTTTTCTTTATCACCTCATTTATGTTTGGCTGGTCCTGACTGTGTGTACCAGATTACCTGTCCATGACTGCTTCTTTCATATGATCACGGTCTTTATTGAGAATCAAATACATTTGAGAATAAGAAGAGAAAGTTATTTCCATTCAACACTTAAGCTTTCAGTAGTGTTTTCCACTTGTCATAGTTTTTGATGTGGTGTTGTGCTTTGTCTGTAGTTAGGGTGTTGGAAATGGGTGGGTCTGTTATTTGACAGCAGTTTTATCCTGAGATACTCCCGGAAAATAAGAGGGAACTTACTGGGTATTAGGGTACTTCACAGGGAGTTGTGAGAAGATTTCAAATATAAAATGTTTTAATATATTCTTGGACTGAGTCCCACTGTGTTGATACCAAAGGTGATGGCTATAGGATATGTTCCGCTTTGAGAAATTGAATTAGGGACATATGGTATTTCAATCAATTAAATTATGGAATCACTGCTATGTTATTTTTAATTTTGCTTTGGGCACGTGTGCTCGACTGAGACAGAGAGAGAGAAGGAGATACAGGGAAGGTGTGAAAGCACCTCTCAGGGGTGATGATCATGTTGCATCCTTTTCTCACTAATCGTGTGAATATGGACATGCACACACATACAACTGGATTGATTTTGAAGACAATGATGAATTGCAAACTGTAGTCAGCCATGGGTGATCTGGCCACCTAGCCAACATGCCACCTGATGGCTCTCTATGTCTCTTTCTAAAGAACCAGCTCACCTTGCAGGACACCCAGGACTGGTTACTGAAGCACAATATTCGTTATGTTCTGTAGCCTAAATCTTATTTCCACACACTCAGCTTTAATTTTCTAATGTTTTAGGATGTCAAAAAGCCAGGACACATTTTTGCAGAGAAAAAACAAAAAAATATGTCATGAATTTTCTCACAACCCAATATTTCCTGATGTCTTCTTGTTGTGACTTAGCTTTTCTGAAGGGAGTTTGGTGCATGTGAGTTTGATATATCACCTCCTTACCAGGGAAGACCATAAATTCCCTGTTGTGTTCCTGATGAAAAACTGTGTGGGAAGCCATCTGGGCTAGGCTCTCTTTGTTTCTTTGTGTGATGAGTTACCTTTCGCCTTCTGTAGTGGAATATTGCAGGTAAAATTTGAAGAAAGAAGGCTCTCCTGGGATAGTGAGTTAGAGTGTCCCTCCTTTTATACACACATCTTCACTCCTCTTCACATTTTCTCCAGGCTGGCTGATGGCAGACTTGTCTTTTGATAGCCACTGGTTCCACTTTATAATTTGTAAACATCAATACATCCACCAGGAACAATAGATTGTTTTATTCTTAGGAACTGATGGAAACATCTTGATTTCTCTAAAGATCACAATTCTCTGAATTCCCAGTCATAGGTTGAAACTAAGCAGGCAAAGTATTTTCTTTTACCCACACCCTTTTCACTCAAAATTAAAGTAGTAGGAAGAACTTCTATTAGATTACCGTATGTAATAAAAGACCGGGGTATTTTGCTGGATGACCACCTGTATTTCACTTTTCTTCTTATATTTTGGTCAAACATTTATTAAAGATAGAGTGTCCGGGTCCCTTATACCTGAGCCTCATATATGTTTCTCAAGGAAAGTCAAATTCTTCAAGGTAGATAGAGTCTTTCTAGTCTTCATGGTGGACAGATTTTTATAAAATATGTTGATCAAACTGAGTACTCTGTAATTTTGGGGCTTTGTGTTTATCGTTCCTGAAAAAGGGATAAATGTGGTTTGATTGAAATTTTACAGAATTGACGTCTAAGTATGCAGGACAAAGACTCAGGGGTGAATTCCTAAAACTATTGTATTCCATGTCATCTGTATGCATGTGTGAATGGCTGTGTGCCATAGACTTCAGAGTCCTTGTCTGCATAGCCACCATAGATACTGCTCCAAGGTGTTCAGTGCAATCTGTGCAAGGGTGACCTTAGAGATCAGGTTCCCAGGAAGCATCAGATCACAACTGCTGTCATTTCTCTGGCTCCCGTGTAGCTATCCCCCTATTGCTTGGACTCCATGGAGTTTCCTTTTGGTATTAAATCCTACAAGGGCTCTTTGAGGAGACTGTCCTATATAGTCTACCATGGATGCCATGGTGCCTATTTGTGAGATGCAGTATGGTTGAAGTTTATTGACTGTACGGAGGGCATGAGCTTCTTTTCTGGATAGCTCGATATGTGAGCAAAATATGTAGCATTCCCTATTCTCAAAGGTATTTTGGGCACCTTATGCCCTAGCTTTTACTATTTATTTTTTCATACTCTTATCCTTTAGGATAAAGCTACATTGTCAAGTATACTTCTTCTGAGATAATTTTACTCCCTCTGGGCCCAGTAATGCTATTATAGATCCCAGGTATGTAGCCTAGGGGAAGGCCTGATGGCAAAAGGAGATGTGGGTCTCTGATGGTTTCATTTCTTCCTTTTATTTTTTTTTAAGAGAGAAATTTCTGCTATTGGGTAATATCTGGAGTCAGAGAGACAGAAAATTAAGTCATCCACCAGGTGGGCTCCCCACACCATAATCCATTCTCCTTCATTGTCCTCTTGGGAACTTGAGTGCATATGTACATGACCCCAGCTTCAGTTTTAAGTCACTGGATCTTGGACTTGAACCATGGTCGACTATGTGGGAATGCATCCACGTGACTACTTCTCTGGTCCCTGGCAGTTTCTTTTTACTATTGTGTGGACACTGTCTCAGTCAGGCTAATAAAGACCCCACTGCCTTTTTTTGACTTGACTTAGACTACTTTCTCTCTGAGTGTAAGGGTTGTCTAAATTAGGCTTATCTTTTCACTGCATTTCCATATTCTCATTTCTTGTTTCTAGGAGTGTAGCTACTGCCAGCTGGCAATGTTGAGAAGACTACTTGGAGGGTTTTAACAATGTACTCTCCCATCTCAGAATGCTTTTTGAGGGAACCAGCAGTTAGCATAATGGCTATGTCGCTGGACTCCCACGTAGTCGACCACGGTTCGCATCCCGGACCCGGTGGCTTAAAACTCACGCCGTGCTCGTGTGCGTGCATGCCCAAGATCCCGAGAAGAGAATGGAGGAGAAGGGATTGTGGCGTGACCATCCCCTCTTGGGGGGTGATTTCTTGCTTTCTGTCTCTATGTCTCTCCCTCTCTGTCTGGCGAGTGCACGCGCCCTATAGCGAAAACCTCTCCAAAAAAAAAAATGAATGCTTTTTGAAAGATTCTCTAAATTCCTTCCTGACCAGAATATTCTGTGTTTCTGTGAGACTGTGGATTTTATGTATCCATTCCAAATAATCCAGTCTACTCTTCATGATTCTGTAGAAACAGGAGGATCTAAGTCGTGAAATAATTCTTCAAAAGTGAAAAGTCTGCTACTCTTGAGCCAGTTAGGTGGTCTGTGGTTAAATCAGCTGAATCGCACTGACTTCAAGGTTGAGTACCAACCTGATGATTTGATAATCATGAAACATGC